ATACTTAGAGAACAATAGACTTTAATTTTACAACTTAAAGTCTTATAGTATAAGACAAAATCTTCACTTATGATAGTTTAACAGAATAGAAATACTTTATTTAAATTTAATCAAAATAATTTTACATACAAATTCTTGATTAACAATTTGAATTAAATATATTTCTATACTCTTTGTTAACCTTTTCGACTTAAAACCAAAAAAAACTTAGTTATTTCTTCATTATGAACTATATTAAGTAGTATTAAAAGAATGAATATATTATTGCTTGTAATTGTGGAATTAAACTCAAATTCAGTTCAAATTCATATGAAATTTAAGCTCAGAATTAACTGCTCGGTTTGTTAATATTCCATTATAACTACTTAAAATAATTCAAGATTTGTTTCATTTAACTTATCTATGAATTATTTAATGTATTCAAACTTTTAAAATAAATTTGTCTCAATAATAATTGTTGGTAAATTCTCCTTACAACTACAAGTAAAAATATATTGCAGCTAATTTTTGCATCTAAGATGGATTTGAATGGAATTGTGAATATTTAGATGTTTTTGGCATTAGGCTTGAATTTCTAAGTTAATATAGGGCATGCTTAAATCAAATTAGATGTCATTTTTACCTAATTTTAGGGTTTCTTAATCTATTTAGTCACTTTTTAATTAAATTCAATGAATATTATTTGAAATATTATATAGTTATTAAACTAAGCTAATATAATCGCAATTTTAAGGAGGAATTTTATTGTAATAAAATGCATTCTTCTTTAAAAATTACCCAATTTTTAATACAGGCAGTACATTATTTATCCCCAGGTCCATTGCATTTTTCACAATAATTTGAACATTTTCTGATATATAAATCAAATGTATTAATTCCCCAATATTTATTCAAAGTTGAATTAGATTGAGTGGTAAATGTAATCTTCATTGACGATTGAGAATGATTCATTTAAGCTCTAAGATTTATAAAGCTAACATTTTATTTAATACCTCCACAGTTTATAAAATGTGCTGATTAATTTATATGTTGGTTTAATAATTCATAATCGTCAAGCTTAAGAATAAATTAATCATCCAACCAATTTCCAAATAACCAAAATTGGAATTCTACTTAAACATTAAAATGGGAAGATAAATTAAAGATTGAATTTTCAACCGTTTAATTTAATCTTAAGTTAGGGTATCCTCCAGCTATATTCAGACCAGCGCATACACTCGAAGAGAGTGTTTGATTATCATCAATTTTCCATCCATCAAACTCACATGGAGTTTACCAAAATGATTTAACATGAATCCAAAAGTCACATGGTATCATATTATCTTAACAATCATACATTCTTTTGGGCATTACAATATCCCAAGATTCCTAAATTTTTAAGTTATTTTACATTTTCTGCTCCCTAGTCTAAATTTGAGGTGATTTTTATGAAAATATTTTTTGAGAAATGAATCTTTTGGAAAGCAAAAATAACGTTTTTGTCATATTCATCAACATCAAAAATACCACATAATTGATAATCTTATCTCATAGATATCATTTCTTTTATTAATTTATCATCAAAGTATATATAAACCCATTCATCATTCCAACTAGTTCTTGATATGTGAGTCTATTTTTTTTCTAAATATTATTGTTCCTATTGCAATTTCTGTGATTTTTGCCAAATGATTTAAAATTTGAAAATATCATTTTTCACCTTAATTAATAGAATGTGAATATATGAAAATTAAATATAAATTTTTCTGCAATAAATTTATCCGTCTTTATATCTCAAATAATAAGAAATTATTTATTGATAAGTATTCGATGTGCTAACATACAACTATATTATTCTTACTTCATTAACTTATTGAATCTATAATTAAACTTATATCACTTAATATTCATTTAAATTCAATCAATTTCTTAAAAGTTTAGAAAAAATAAATGTTTTATTGTATTTTAAAAGCAATATTCAAAGAGTTGGAAATTTATTCAAC